ACACACACACACACACACACACACACACACACACACACACACACACACACACACACACACACACACACACACACATGTGCAGTGCCAAGACGGCCCTGCACATCAAGCGCAATGGCAATGCCCGCCTGGTGGCCTTCGTCTATGTGGTCTTCATCCACATCCTTTGGATCATGTCCGCCCTGCTCGGCATGTTCTAGGTGTAAGAGCCGGCGGCGCCCAAGAATACCGGGCAGGTGCGACCGCCCCTCCCCTTCCTGGGCGGCCCCCCCAGACATTGGGTCGCCCTGCTCGGCGCGCCTCAGCCCCATCCATTTTGAAGGGCAATCCAATACACATCCGCATCCTCATACACACACACACACACACACAAGCACAAGCACACGCACACACGTTTTCGCCCCCGCCGAATGGTCAATTTAGCACTCGGCTGGCCGCAGATTGTGGTGTAAGTGCCACCGCAAACGGATGCCGGTCCGGTGATCGCCCCCCCCCCCCCCCCCCCCCCGGAGCACCGGTCACGCCGTCAAACCGATTTTCGGGCATGGAACCACCCCTTCCTCGGGCCGCTGGGCCTTGGGGGATATGTGCCAGGGGGGACGGGCGGGGGGATGCCCGCCCCCCAGGGGCCGCCCCGTCATGCTGCAAGGCCCCACACATGGGAATGATCTGCCCAGGGCTGGGTTCTCGCGAGAGACCCACGCACATCAGCCAGCCCCAGGGCACGGCCCTCAGAGTCCCCCGCCCTGCCCCGGCAGGGGCTGGTCCCGTTCCTCCTCCCCGCCCCCACCCCCCGGTCGAAGGTGCCCACCTTTTGGGCTTTAATTGGGTGGTGCTCCGGATCCCCTGCCCCCCTCGCCCCGGGCTTCCAGCCCTGAGAAAGGACTGAAGACCCCCTGTGCTCGAGAGCCGGCTGCCCTGCACCTTGCTCCACCCAGCCCCATCCCATCGACCCTGCCTCGCTCCCTCTCTCCCTCCATTCCGCCTCCCTGCGACCTGTGCCAGCTCGACCCCTCGCCTCTTTTGACCCCCGGCACCGGCTCCTCTCTCGGGCTCTGTGCACCTTTCGGCCCCTCCGCACGATGTTTCACCCCAGCTACGCCCCGCCGGTTCCGCTGGACTTGGAATCGGGCGCCGAGCGCAAGTCGGCTCCGGCCGGCACCGTCCTGCCGTCCCTCGCTGGGCGCCTGCCGCCGGAGTTCTTCGAGCGCCAGCACTTCACCGACGAGCAGAAGCTCCTGTGGGACGAGCTTGTCGACATTGTCGAGCAGATGTTCACCCTGCCCAAGATCCCCCCTCGGCTGACTGGGCGTCTGCACCAAATCGTCTTCCGCATCACCGGCATCTTTGACCTGGATCGCTTGCAAACCAACGTCCGCGAGCGCCAGGCCTCCCTGCGGTTCATGGTTCTCTGCCTGGTGGAGACGCACCTGAAGAAGATCCTGGCCCAGCTGGAGGCGGCCCCGGATGCGGATCTCCTGCAGGAGCTGACGCGCTCCTGGACCCAACTTCTGTCGATCCTTTCCTCGCTGGGCTTCGCCATGGCGCCGGTGCACGATGTCATCTCCCCGAGCCGGCTGTACCGGATCAACTTCATCTTCAACGTGCGTGAGCATCGCGCTCCCCTCTCTCCCCTCCCCCCCTGCGCCGCTGTATTTCGTCTCCCCTTTTCAGCATGACCCGTCGGCCTGACGCGCGCGTCCCCTGGCATGGCCGTCCCCATGCACGTACCCGCCCATGGCAGGATACAATCACCACGCTGAAACTCCTTCTTCCGCCGGCGCTCTTGGACCGGATCTCCAACCGCATTCTGCTGGAGCTGATTGATGTTCGCCATAAGAATGAGCCCTTTGACTTTAATCACTTCTCCCTGATGGTGGATTTCCTGCGTACGCTGCTGCCCGGCAACCGGCCCCTATTCATCTCTCCCCCCTGTGGGCTTCCTCTCACATTGATGGCCGTCTCCCTGCTCGGGTCTTGACATTGCCCCGGCACCGCCGCCCTGGCCCTTTCTCCTTCTCCACCCTCCTCGACATCACCAGGGATACTGGACAAGCATTCGACGGACATCGAGGACCGGGACATTCTGCCCCTGCCAGCGCCGCCATCCCGGTCGCCCCTGCGCGCGCGGCTCTTTGAGGAGCACTTCCTTTCCACCACGTCGGCCTACCTGAAGGAGCAGCATTCGCTGATCTGCTCGGCCGAGCCATCGGTCTACTTCTCCAAGGTATGCCCGAGCCAGTGGCATGTCGCATTGGCCGCTGCTGCTGCCGCTGCTGCTGCCGCCGCTGCTGCTGCTGCTACCGCCGCCGCCACCGCCAGGTCCCGGCTTGCTGCCCCTCTCGGCTTCCCTCCCTGCCTCCCGGTCAAATAACCCATGCCACCCGCCCACCCATCCACACACATACGCACATGCGCAACACACTCGGCCCAGGTGCTGGAAATCTTCCGCAAGGAGGAGGAGAAGTTCATTCTCCTCATGCCGGAGACCATCAAGGACCTTGAGTGGATGGTCATCAACATTTTCTTCCCCAACATGCAGCAGATGCTGGACTTCCTGTTCGACACCCTGTGTCGGGTGGGCCCCTGCAATGGTTCGCCTCCATCTTGAGCCTGTCCCCCCTCCGCCCCTCCTTCTTCAACCTGTTGCTGGGCCAGCTTTTCCCATCCAGCCTTGCCTGTCCACCTTTTGCTCGCGCTTACGCCATCCCTCCGCCCCCTCGCCCGGAATCCCGCCAATTCAGATGCGGTTACCCTGATTCGCCTGCTGGCCTTCCAGCCGGAGTCCGAAGAGCCGACCAAGCAGCGTGTCGAGGCGTGGATGCACCAGCTTTGCGTGAAGACCTGCACTCCTTTTGTGGACAACTTCGCCGCCGTCCGGAGGGTGCGCCGGGGTGTCCCCGAACTCCGGAGAAAAAAAAACACACCGCGCACATCTGTTCGCCTTGGCTAATCCCAACTGCTGCCCTTGTGCTGCCCCCTCCGGCCTCCTGCCCCTCATCGCAGGATCCCCAAGAACTCCTCATTGCCATGTATGATGTGTATCAGGGCGCGACCAGCGGCATGAATAGCGTCCCGATTGAGGAGATCAAAATCGCCGTGCCCAAGACCTTCGGGCATTTCATCAACGAGGTGGCTTTCTCCCCGAGGGGGCTATTTTCCCAGAGTCCCGATTGCTCATTCGCCATCCTGGTGGCTGTGGCGCTGGACCGGTACATTCGGACGTGCGTGCAGCGGGGCTTTTCCTCCTCCTCCTCCTCCTCCTCCTCCTTTTTCATCGCGCCCCTCCTCGCTCCGGGCCGCATTCCAACTCACCATTTGGCCCTCGTTGGATGTCTGTGTATGCCCATATGCACGCGTCCAGCTTCCCGACAGGCTCGCCATTGCCGCCTGAGCATCTCAATAATGGTGATCCGCTCTCCAAGCAGGTACACGCATCTTCACTCACCACCAATGCCGCACACACACACACACACA